CCTACCCCGTCTCAATCCCAACCGTAACGGTCCCATCAAGGGACGTACCCCCGCCCCATCCCCCCGTCTCAATCCCAACCGTAACGGTTCCTTCAGCGGACGTAACACCTCCCTGCACATACCTGGCTCCTCCGTATGACCACCCGGATGCTGCTCTCGAAGTAGTTGTTGCGCACGCGCACTCCGCGCAGGATGCAGATCTGGAAGTAGAGCAGCACGACCAGGGAGCCCAGGTACAGATATATCAGGAACACCTGGGGACCAACACAGCAGACGATGGTTTTTAGTTAGAGTTTTAGTTTTCGTTTTAAAAAGAGTTTTAGAAAGAGTTTTAGAAAGAGTTAAAAAGAAGCAAAAAACCCGAAAATGCAGCACAATTAGGACATAATGTAAAAGACGATGGTTTTTAATTTTCGTTTTAGGTTCTGTAAAAGTTTAACAGAAAATGCAAAACACTTAGATCTAGGTTATATAGTTTTAGTAAGAGTTTCAGAAAGAATTTTACGGAAAAAGCAACACAGGTCATATAAAACAATGGTTTTTAGTTTTAGTAAGAGTTTTAGTTTTAGAAATATTTTTACGGAAAATGCAACACAATTAGGCCGTACAAAAGACGATGGTCTTTAGTTTACGTAACAATTTTAGAAAGAGTTTTACAAAAAATGCAACTCAGTTAGGTCATATAAAAGAATGGTTTTTGTTTCAGTTTTAGAAAGAGTTTCATGTAACTTGCAACACAATTAGGTCATATAAGTGCCGAAAATTAGAGATGTTACTAAAGAGTAACATACAAAGGAAGGAAAAAAAAAAAAGACAATTGATGTTTCATTCGAAAGAAGGAGCTAACCAAACCACAGCAGCCGCCAACCATCCACACAATACACGATTGTAACATTTTAAGAAAATTCAGATCCTTCAAGAAGTGGGCTGCTTAGAATCTATAAGTTCTCTGAGGGCCAATCCTGGGGTCCGTTGGGTATATCTGAACAGGCAGAGGGAGATGTTTCCTGAAATAGCTTCCCCACTCGGGAATCGAACTCAAGTCTTCGCCTGCAATGGCGAAGTGCTTTAAAAAACCATTACATTGCAGACACCAGTCGGTAAGAGAAGAGAAGAGGACAGTGGTCACTGGTATGGTATGGTTCGGGGTTAGTGCTCTTTTCAACACTGTCACCCCCCTCCCCCACTCCGTTTCTATATTCATCCTCTCTCTGTGTCTCTCTTGCTCTGTCTCTTTCTCCCCCCCCC